AGGCAAATATCCAGAGCACAAAATTACCGAAACATGCATCAAGGATTGTTCTCGTCGTGCTCATGGAGCTTGAGACGTTGAATGCCTTGTGACAGGCTGGCATGAGAGGTCCCGTGGTGGGGTAACTGGGTTGGAGCTCGGCCATTGCTCTTGGTCACTTTGAGGTGCGGTGTTGAGCCCCGCCATGTGACGTAGTGCAGTGGCTGTTCTTTGTGGCTTGGATGATGGGGCTTTGGAGGCCTCGAAATCGACATTTGTGCATCGTGAAAGAATGAAAGTGTTGCTACATAGTACTATGGCTTGGTTCAACATGTGCTATGGCTTCCATGATGGGAAAAGGTGCCAATTGTTACAAAACATACCAACATTGCATATGATCATCCGAATCATTGCCCCAAAATCCCTGACGGACCCTTTTTGCGCCACATGTTAAGAGAACCAGCGCCGTCATCCAATCACACTAGAGAAATGCATTTTGGCAGTAATCTCACCGACAGCCCGATGAACAGTCTCTCTCACCTCGGTGAGAGCACGTGATGCTCCTTCATCATCGCCCCGCTGTCCCCTTAATAGTATGGTGCCGGAGTCACATGTGAGTGAGCGCCACGAGTCATACGCATTTGACGGGCTACCACTCAGATGGTTCTCAACCAGATCGATCCGGGCCGTTCCAAAACTCAAACCCTGAGATGGCGGCGCCCGTTGCTCGTTGCCCACGCGTGGCATGTGGAAGCTGTTTTGCACGGCATTCTCTTGAGACATACTCTTGGCATTTGTCAGACCTCGTCCAGCTTCTTCCATCTCCAAAGCCATTCCTCTTGGCTCATCAACGTGTGCTTCTCAGCCTCATCAGCTTTCAGCCCAACCTCTCTGCCTAGTCTCACAAGAGGACGCGCACTTGGTGCTAGAGCCATGCATACCCCACGACAAGGCGGCCACCATATTGCTTCTCCCGCGCCTCTTCTGTTGATCTTGGGAGGCCAGAGCCTTCTCGGCCTGCTTCGACCCGGCCGACAACGGGGTCACTTGCCTCATTCGATTCTGTCACATTTTCGATGCAGCTCGTTATTTGATCAAGCGAGCATCGAGAGCCGAAGCCGGGTCATTATCCCAGGCGTCATGTTGGCCTCTGGTGCAGCATCCCGTGGGGGTGGAACTGAGAAGAGGATTGACCAGGAAGAACACTGGACAAACTGCCGCATCTAGCGCCTACTTTCGGCTAGTTCCCTGAGCCAATTCCACTTAAGGTTTCAGGCGATCTCGCCACTCGGGGCACTCGGGCAATCTCGTCGACAGAACAGATCGGCAGCCGTGGTCACGAACAATACCACGGCTTCCCCTTCGCCCGCGCCAATGATCTGATCCCTTGCGGATCTTATACCAATAGCCTGGTTTTCACCAACGGCGGGCATAGAAGCGACATTATAGGCTTTCACTCTAGTGTGTGTCTGCTTGAGTCTGCACGGCCTTCCATGTCACTATACAGCTCCGGTTGTCCCTCAACAACGAGCTTTCAACGCTGAAGGGTGTACATGTACTCAGTGTATATGGGAACCCTTTTCTGGGCAGCCGAAAACCAACCTCGTACGAAGCTGAAGGTGATTGGCTGGAAGCTCAGTGACCCTCAGTCCCCTGAGGGTCGAACTAAGTGCTCCGCCACCACCACGCTCCTTGGCATCCCATTGACTGCCTGTCTCAAGAATACCAAGACTTTGACAATCGAGCCCTTGCAACTACGACAAAATAACAGAGAGAGCATCCCAAAATCGAAAAGCCATGAACTTTTGGTGAAAAACACCCACGTTCGGCAGCTCGTGGCGGAATTGCGTGACGCGGGACAGCTTCCAGCTCGGGGCGGGAGCGCACGGCGTGCCCGCTTCGCTGTGAGCGCGCGACTGGAGTGGGAGAGACCGCCAAGACACTGGGAGTCCTATCAACGCCGGGACTGCTTGATTGCGTGATCAGCCCGCTTCCTGATGCCATTTTGCCCAGACGCTCCAGAATCGAAGGCACTGCCGTGGCAAGAAAATCTGCGCAGAAAAGAGCAGGGAGGACCGAGTAGAGTGGGCGGCCGGTAAATGGACATGTTTGGGAGCGACAGGCGGGAAGATAAGGGCGCTCTGAAAAATCTGGGCATACTTGGTTGTTAACTTATAAGGAGAATATCCTCGACCCATCTCTTGTTTGATCAAGACAAAGTTGCCGTTCTAGCCGGTGTGCATTTGATATCAACCACACCCATCATGTCGGAATACGACAGCAAGACGCCCAAGGCGCTCGAGGGCCCACCCTCTTCCACTCAGGGCGATGAGGAATTACGCAACCTTCACGTTGACTGGACCAAAGAAGAGGAGCGCAAGGCCAAGCGGAAGTGAGTTGCCGAGGAGATCCTCCATCGTCAGGGTTGACTACTCATGCTGATGTCCTCATCAGGCTGGACCTGATTATCATGCCCATCCTGACACTGGGTTTCTTCTGTCTCCGTGAGTACCTGCGTGTGAAATGCTTCTCCGCCGGCAACCACATCTGACGTGCGACACGCCACAGAGCTCGATCGAGGCAACATCGCCAACGCCATCACCGACAACTTTATGGAAGATGTGGGCATCAACCAGGATCAGTTCAACGTCGGCCAGCAGATGCTGTCGCTCGGCATCGTGCTCTTCGAGATCCCCTCCAACATGATCCTCTACCGTGTGGGCCCCGGCAAGTGGCTCACTCTGCAGCTCTTCCTATTCGGTACCGTCAGTCTGTTCCAGGCCTTCCAGAAGGGTTATGGGGCCTTCATTGCCACGAGGTTTCTCCTCGGCATGACGGAGTCTGGATTCATCCCTGGTGGTCTGTGGACCCTGTCGACTTGGTACACACGCACAGAAACGGCGAAGCGCGTCATGATCTTCTACTTTGGTAACCAGTTCGGTCAAGCTTCGTCTAAGCTGCTTGCCTACGGCATCCTCCACATGCGCGATGTCGGTGGCAAGTCTGGTTGGTTCTGGCTGTTCGCGCTCATGGGCGGCTTCACGATTCTCAGCGGCTTCGTCTACGGTTTCTTCCTTCCTGATTCCTTCAAGAACCCCAGGAGTACTTTCGCCCCTGGCATCAAGTTCTTCACCGATCGCGAGCTCCACATTCTGCAGACCCGCGTCTTGATCAATGACCCCATGAAGGGCAAGAAGAAGAAGAAGATTGGACTGGATGCTTTCAAGAAGGCCGTACGTATTTCTTCCGCTTTGGGAAATCATGGGCGTCGCTAATGAACCCTTGCACAGTTCGGCAACTGGCGCCTCTGGGTCCACCTCTTCATTACCCTGTCCAACAACGGTCCTCAGCGTGCGTTCGATACCTACTCGCCTTCGATTGTTCGCGACTTTGGTTTCGCTGCTCTCACCAGCAACGCGTTGGCTTCCGTCGGTCTCTTCCTGCAGATTCCGACCTCTTTCGCGTTCAGCTATGTTTCGGATCGCTTGTAAGTCGAACCATGCCGGACATTGCGTTGCGATGACTAACACCCAGCTTTTTAGCAACAAGCGCCCTGAGACGGTGGTTGTCGGTCTGAGCATGCACTTGCTCGGTTATGTCTTCAACCGCATCTTTACCGAATTGAACATGCGTGGAGTCCGCTACTTTGGCGTCGTCTGGACTCAGACGTTCGGCACCTTTTCGCACCCGCTCAACATTGCCTGGATGTCCCTCACCTGCCACGACTCTGAGGAGCGTGCCCTCGCCATGGCCATGTAAGCTCATCTGGTCATCAAGCTAAGCGAGAAAGAAAGTACTGACAAATGGCTAGGGTCATCATGGGTGCCAACATCGCGGGTATCTACGGTGCCCAGATATTCCGCGCCGACGACAAGCCCCGCTACCGCCGTGGCTTCTCCATCAACATCGCTGTGCTCACCTTTGGCTTGTCGCTGGCTGTCCTACGCGGCGTCGACGAGTGGCTTCAGCGCCGCCGCAAGGCCAGGCAGGCGATCGATGAGTCCTCGGACGACAACGCCTCGCACATTGGTCGTGTTCGCGGCGAGAAGGTGGCGCTGCCCAGCGATGACCTTCCTCAGCCTGCTTTGCCCTCCCCGCCTGCCAACAAGATCTAATAGATTCGTAATGGCTTGATAACGTCTGACTTTTGTCTTGGAGATGGAACAATACCTTGTGGCTGGTTCGCTGCGGAGTCGCGGTGGATGTATTAGCATATACTGCTGTAGAATCCCAACAATGCCTTATATGATTATGCCCAGGAACTAGTTGTATTCAGGCAAAATTTGACATGCCCTGTTTATCGTTGAATGTCGTGGTGTTCGACTCTGGAAGTACTTTGTCCGCGGCGTTCTCTCCCCGACGTCCGCAGTGCAGTTGTGACATTAGACACAACGACAGAATGTTTTCAGAGATATCTTCGAGCTCATGGACGCGTTCAAGTACTGATAGCAGAGTCTTAAAGCACTCTGTAGCTCATGATACTTCGTAGCCTGAAGCCTTCCTTAAATGCACAGCAGTTCGGCAGGAACCTGGGTCAAAGTTTGGCAGGCACGACTGACCTACGCCCTAGAGGCAGCTTCCCTTCTTGCCGGCCGCTACTTCCCCTAATACCTTGGGCAAGAACGATTTTTTTCAAGGGAGCACTTCTTTTATTGATCCTCTATCCACCCTACCTAGGTAGGTACCTTGGCCAGGGCTGAGCCGCAGACCCTCTTGTCAAGTCGACCGTTTAAACCCGATGTCTTATGATAGTCAAGGATTTCCCACTATTTAAATCTGGCTTCACTGCT